GCTGAGGTGGATAGGGGGGTACTCCCACCGCTGTTTCCTGAAGTCCACGATCATCTCCTTTGTTTTGTTGACTTTGAGTGAGAGGTTATTTTCCTGACACAACACTCCGAGAGCCCTCACCTCCTCCCTGTAGGCTGTCTCATCGTTGTTGGTAATTAAGCCTACTACTGTTGTGTCGTCTGCAAACTTGATGATTGAGTTGGAGGCGTGCATGGCTATGCAGTCATGGGTGAACAGGGAGTACAGGAGGGGGCTGAGCACACACCCTTGTGGGGCCCCATTGTTGAGGATCAGCGAAGTGGAGATGTTGCTTCCTACCTTCACCACCTGGGGGCGGCCCGACAGGAAGTCCAGGACCCAATTGCACAGGTTGAGACCCAGGGCCTCAAGCTTCATGATGAGCTTGGAGGGTACTATGGTGTTGAATGCTGAGCTATAGTCAATGAACAGCATTCTTACATAGGTATTCCTCTTGTCCAGATGGGATAGGGCAGTGTGCAGTGTGATGGCGATTGCATCGTCTGTGGACTTATTGGGGCGTTAAGCAAATTGAAGTGGGTCTAGGGTGTTGGCTAAGGTGGAGGTGATATGATCCATGACTAGTCTCTCAAAGCACTTCATGATGACAGAAGTGAGTGCTACGGGGCGATAGTCATTTAGTTCAGTTACCTTTGCATTCTTGGGTACAGGAACAATGGTGGCCATCTTGAAGCATGTGGGGACAGCAGACTGGGATAGGGAGAGATTGAATATGTCCGTAAACACACCAGCCAGCTGGTCTACACATGCTCTGCGGACGCGGCTAGGAATACCGTCTGGGCTGGCAGCCTTGCGAGGGTTAACGCGTTAAATGTCTTACTCAAGTCGGCCACGGAGAAGGAGAGCCCACAGTCTTTGGTAGCTGACCGTGTCGGTGGCACTGTGTTTTCCTCAAAGCGGGCAAATAACTTGTTTAGCTTGTCTGGCAGCAAGACGTCGGTGTCCGCTAAGTGGCTGGTTTTCCTATTGTAGTCTGTGATTGTCTGTAGACCCTGCCACATCTCGTGTCTGAGCCGTTGAATTGCGACTCCACTTTTTTTCGATATTGACGTTTTGCCTGTTTGATTGCCTTGCGGAGGGAACGACCACTCTGTTTGTATTCTGCCATATTCCCTGTCACCTTGCTATGGTTAAATGCGGTAGTTCGTGCTTTCAGTTTTTCACGAATGCTGCCATCTTTCCACAGTTTCTGGTTAGGGTAGGTTTTAATAGTCACAGTGGGTACGACATCTCCTATACACTTCCTTATGAACCCACTTATCAAATCAGCGTATACGTCTATATTATTCTCAGAGGCTACCCGGAACACATCTTAATCTGTGTGATCAAAATAATCTTGAAGTGTGGATTCCGATTGGTCAGACCAGCGTTGAATAGTCCTAAGCACGGGTGCTTCCTGTTTGAGTTTCTGCCTATAGGAAGGGAGGAGCAAAATGGAGTCGTGGTCAGATTTGCTGAAAAGAGGGTGGGGGAGGGCCTTGTATGCCTCGCGGAAATTTGTGTAACAATGGTCCAGTGTTTTTCCAGTGCGAGTGCTACAGTCAATATGCTGATAGAATTTAGGTAGCCTTTTTCTCAAATTTGCTTTGTTAAAATCCCCAGCTACAATAAATGCAGCCTCAGGATATATGGTTTCCAGTTTGCATAAAGTCCATTGAAGTTCCTTGAGGGCCGTTGTGTCATCGGCTTGAGGGGGGATATACACGACTGTAACAATAACCGAAGAGAATTATCTTGGGAGATAATACGGTCTGCATTCTCTTGCGATGTGGAGTCTTTTGTTTAGGCATTTAGCTAGCTAGCTAGCTAAACAATTAACCATAATCCCAACCCATAGTTACAGTACAAACGGATTGTCATAGCTAGCCACCATGCATGAAATTCTGGAGTATGAATCTGCAGGTAGCTAAAGCTAACCAACAAGTTTCAATTTTAGCTAGCTAGCTAACATTAGGCTATAACTAGCAATCCAAATGGCTTTCTGAGATACTAATAATATTACTACACAGATCATACACGTAACGTTAGCTAGTGAGCCAGCAAGCCATGTATCAGTACGTTTACATGCACTAGTCAGATTAATATAATAGTTCAATTTCAACATTCTTTGCAAGAAGAACCAGTTTACATGGACACATCTGAAATCAGGCTACTTGATGGGACTTTGATAAATACAGAAAATAGCCAAAATCGCCAATCAAAATAAATTTGTACCACAGCGACCATGTTATTTTTGGGAAGCCTATTTGATTTGAGTTCGGACATATAAAGTTTGTACAGTACCAGTCAAAAGTTTTTCTTAATTGTTACTATTTTCTACATTGTAGAATAATAGTGAAGACATCAAGACTATGAAATAACACATATGGAATCATGTAGTAACCAAAAAAGTGTTAAACAAATCAAAATAAATATATTTTATATTTGAGATTCTTCAAAGTAGCCACCCTTTGCCTTGCTGACAGCTTTGCACACTCTTGGCATTCTCTCAAACAGCTTCACCAGGAATGCTTTTCCAACAGTCTTGAAGGAGTTCCAACATATGCTGAGCACTTGTTGGCTGCTTTTACTTCACTCTGCAGTCCAACTCATCCCAAACCATCTCAATTGGGTTGAGGTCGGGTGATTGAGGAGGCCAGGACATCTGATGCAGCACTCCATCACTCTCCCTCTTGGTCAAATAACCATCCTGGATATGACAGAGTTTGCCTCCACCCATGGGTCCAGCAGGCAGAGTTCAATAACTACAGCCATATGAGAGATGCAGGAGGATGGCACTCTTCTCATACCACTGTAGTGTAGGCCAGGGTTTCTAAACACTTGTGATGTAGTGTTATTATATAGTAATCACCTTTTGTCCCTTCTGAGGTGTTTGCCAATGCCTGATGGGCATGGCAGCATAGATCAGCTTACAATCCGACCCAGCTCCTATCACAGAGAAAGAGAGGGAGGGAGAGAGAGAAAGACTGTCACCATACAGTCATGGAAGCCAACAGTTAATACACGATTGAACATAGCCAATCAGAGATTGTGATTCACAGCTAATTCACAAGGGACATGTGCCAGCATGGCACTGACTGGTTGGCATTACTCTCTCAGGCCCAGGAGTAGACCATTGGCACAGTGGAAGAGGGCACCTCCTTACAACATACAAGACACAATATCAATGGTGGTTATGATAGGTGAATTCCAGGACAGACAAGTGATAGTATTTTCACCTTTGACCAGATCAAATATGACCAACCTGATTCAAGTGACCTCCATTACTCTGAAACAGGACTGGTGTCTAGCCACTGCCTCCTTGTATGGTGATCGGCCATCATTCTTTTTGCCCTAGAAAATACACAATAATGTTGTTGGAATCTTGTTTTGGGTTAGCTAAAGCCCTCAAATGCTAGTGACCACCTAGCTTCTGTAGCTAGCTTGAAACATGATTGAAAACAACTTGGACATCGAACATGTCGTCAGGTTTGCTTGATTATTGGAGATAGTTAGCTAGCAGGGATCTTAGCTAGCCAGTTTGAGTTGAAACATTATTGAATACAAGCTGGCTACATGCATCAAACATGTTGTGAGGTTTGCTTGATTATTTGAGCTAGCTAACATTAGCTAGCCAGTTAAAGTTTAAACAATATCGATAGCAAGCTGGCTAATATTGCATCCTATCAAACCTGTCGTCAGGTACAACATTAGCTATGCAAATCTTCCTCTCTCTGACATATCACATTACATATATTTAGTTAGTTACATCACAGTAACATAGCTTGCCTGCCTCACTAACATTATCAAATAATGTAGCTAGCTAGCTAGCTAGCTATAACCAAAACGTACTCATTAACAACAACACACCAGTCTCAGGTTTGATGGTTGACAGTCCGCAGAAGTAGTAGCTAGCGTCAGATGTACCCTAATCCGTATCCTGGCCATCTGCCCAAGATTGTTCAACAACTTTATGGAAGCCTATTTTCAATCGTATTTGCAGAGCGGAATGTGCATTGAACCACAATACTGCTGCCGTAGACTTGAGAACATGATCCACATGTTTCTGGGCAGGGGGCTTTAACACACTGTGTTTTCTGTGGGCAATTGGCCATCATTGGCAAAAGTGGGCACGTAAGTAATCCAAACCCAACCCCTCACAAAAACTGCGGCGTATCCTTCAGATTTCTCATTATTTCGTTTTGGGACGAAACTGACTTTGTAGTCAGTTTTGACACTAGAATAAATGTTTCTGGCTCATATTGACACCAGATAGGCCGTTTCAAAAGAAGAAGTTGCTTTTTTGGTTCAAATTCCTTTAAAGAAGATCAAATATTTATATTCTGCATTTCAAGAACAGTGGGAAAGTGGAGAGGGTGGTAGCAGAAAGAAGAAGGCCACAGACAGGAAAGTGACAGAGGCAGGGCTCAAACTAACGTCGCCAAGGGTGTAGCCTATACTGTAAGTGGTTCATAGTCTAGACCAGACTCCGGCACACCAGACACCTATATCTGATATAACTACAGACTCGAGCAAATAAAGCCCTTAAAATAATCCAAATTATCTTAACTCTTGGGAACAAATAGATATAAGTAATTGTTTTCTCAAAATAGCTGTCGTTGTAGGTTGATAAAGTGGGCAGAATAGTGCCTTGAGTTGCATGATTTGGCCTTTTGCCTCTATCTTAGTCATACTCACAAGAACTGGCTGGACAGAAAGTGGGTTATATGCAGGGTCACTTATAGTAAGGATGGACTGTTATCACATTTCCTCTTACTCATTCAACAGTGGTGCCCTGCTTTGCAGAATTGATAACGATTCAAGTTAAAAACTAGTAAAATGGCAGAGCAGTTTTTTAACCATTGTCCTTGTATGTAATTTATGTTGTATATCAGTTAAAGTGCTAGATCTCGGTTTGAAGTGCTATTCATCATCATTACCAGCCTGTTCTGAGGAAATACGGTAAAGCACATAACCATAGCATGCCCAATTCCCGTACACCAAGCAAACTGTTACTTGAGTCATTATGGTTCCACATAGAACCATTACCCTTCCCAAAGAACCCTTGAGGAACCCTCTTTTCTTAGTGTATATCTGCAACGCTCACTATGTTGCACATTCCTGAATACCCTGTTTCCAGCTGTCTGCGAACCATTCCTGGGGAACCTTTTTATTCCCCTAGTGACAATAAATCAGCAGTCTGTTAATGACTTAAGCCCCTAAAGTGCTCCGATGTTTATCTCCATTTCCTTGTCCCATTAGCCTACACAGAACTGGGCTACTACATCATCAATAAGCTCCATCATGTGGACGATTCTGTCGGAAACAAGACCAGGCGGGCTTTCCTCTACTTGGCAGTGTTCCCTCTACTCGATGCCATGGTGAGTCACGGCCTGCTGCCCGCTGGATTCTAGTCCCCTTTTAGCTTGGGAAATGCTTGACAGAGAGGTGGTGTTCTGACATTCTGACCTACTACACAGAATGCTCTGGGGTTTCCCAGAAGTACAGATCTAGAAACACCTTTCCTTCTCCCAATCCTAATCTTAATCATTAGTGGGTGAAATGCAAAACTGACCCAAGATCAGCGCCCAGGGGCAACTTCACCATACTCCTTTAGTCTCTGGCTTGGGAAATGCTTGACAAAGAGGATGGTGTTTTGTTTGACATTCTGATCTATCGCTCAGAACGTGCTACCTAGACAAAATATGCATGCTTTATCTTAACCACTCATGCTTTTAATGAGCATATCTGTGTTACATTGTATAGTGTGTGTAGCGTTTCTGGTGTAGTGTATCTAACAGCATTGTTGGTGTAGGACTACGTGTACTGTTATTTGCTATTTTCTCTCTATTTATCCCAGTAGTATTAGTTATTTACCAACTGTGCAGTGAGTGTTTGGTCATTGGTTTGTGAGTATTTAGCTGTTTTTGTGCTACACTGTAATTATTTTTTATTGTATATGTCATGGTAAATTACTGTTTAATCAAAAGTAACATACTGTATAAACTGAATACAGTAGATTACATCAATTACATTGCATTGTGGGAAAAAATGTAACGGGCGGAAAATATTTGATGTATTTTGGACATTACCGTAGAAAATGCTACTTGAAACACAGTAACAGTTTACTTACTGTATTTGTGAATATTCAAAATAGAATGCCACACTTAAAGAACACGGGCAACAAAATCAAAGCACATCCTCTGAAGTAAGAGAGAAAATGTTTTAGCAAATTGGTTAATTTGTTCCTGTTTTGTTATTTACATGTATTGCTTTGTTTGTGGCTGTGCTGTTTTATATTATATGAAAAATATACAGTCAGAAAGGCACATCATACAAATAAATCATTTTCCATGGTTAAAGGCCCAGTGCAGTCAAAATGTGATTTTCCTGTTTTATATACACTGAGTGTACAAAACATTAGGAACACATTTTAGTGTAAGAGCTGTTTGAAAAGACCGCCTGAAATTTCTGCCTGTTTTTTTGGGATGGATTTTTGCCCTGCCTGGTGACATCACCACTCCCAGACAGTCCTAATTCCTTGAGAAATTGCTAATTTTAATTGAAAACAATCACAGTAAGGTACTTAATTCTTACCCAGAAATTATTTGATACCAGTATGAAAATGTATGCACTCACTAACTGTAAGTCGCTCTGGATAAGAGCGTCTGCTAAATGACTAAAATGTAAAATGTAAATATTGAGATAAAAACAGCTGCATTGGACCATTAAAAGTCAACCAAGCACACACAACATAGGCGCTACATGTTACATCCCCTTGTGGAAACCCTCACTTAGCCTGAATTCAAACAACGCCCACTACGTCTTCTGTGTTTTTAGCTGACTAGAAATTGAGTAATTGTTGTTGCAAGCAAGCGCCGTATGATTAGCCAGTTTGAAAATAATCTAGTTAGCTTGCGTTGTTAGTGGACCACTTAATGAATATCGGCTCCTACAGCTATTCGTTGACTACTTGTTGATAATACGATGCTTGTCATTGTTGTTACATGATATAATAATGCATCAAATTTGAGATAATTCAATGTTTCACTGTTTTAATTGTATCTGTCCCTATTGAAATAGATAACAATGAGTAAAATATTTGATCCATGGACTGTTTGTCCCCTGTTTCAGGCCTGGACACATGCCGGTATTCTACTTAAGCACAAACACAGCCTGTTAGTGGGCTGTGCCTCCATCTCTGATGTCATAGCTCAGGTAAGAATCAGTTATCAATGGGTCTATTGATGAATTGCATTTCATTTACATATGGCGATAGTGATTCAGGAGGGTGCAAAGCAGAGGATAGGGAGAGGTATGGACATTAGTTAATTTTGTACCGCATTATGCAGTCTATTAGCATTTGTTTTTACTATTTGCATTTGCTTGACTCTATGTGCCTCAAGTAAACAAATCCTTATTTTATCATTGCAACTTAAAATTAAGACTTGCAACACATCCAAAAAAGACTTATATTAGCACATCCTTCCGAGATGGCTTTGAGAAGTTGTACAGTGATCAAAAGTGAATGTGTCATTCTGATTCTCTGGTTAGGACATGTCAACAGATCTATCTTTCTCCTTGTCTTCCTCTTGCACCAACATTTTCTCTGCCTCTTCTTTCTGCACTTCCTGCCATTCTCCCTCTCTCTTCCTATCCCTTCATGTCTCTCTCTCTCTCTCTCTCTCTCTCTCTCTCTCTCTCTCTCCCTCTCTCTCGCCCTCTCTCTCGCCCTCTCTCCCTCTCTCTCTCTCACCCTCTCCCTCTCCCCCCCCCCCAGATTGTCTTTGTGGCCATCTTGCTTCACAGTCATTTGGAGTGTCTGGAGCCTATGTTGATCCCTATCTTGTCCCTCTACATGGGGGCCCTGGTGCGCTTCACTATTGTAGGACTGGGCTACTACCGCAACATCCACTACAACATCCCAGAGTCCAGCGGACCTGAAGTGGGGGTAGGTTATCTCAGGTCAAATGGGGTCAGGATATTCACTTTGTATTTCTACAGTGGTCTGTTTGGATGGTAGAGATGCTTTGTGTAGAACATATATGATTGTCCATTATGTAGAATGGTGAATTGTGTCAGCTCTATGTATTACATTTCTATCTGCAACATTCTGAACGTTTCACCTCACTGAACACACCCCAGGTGTCAAAGTTAACCGTGTGGAGCTTCTATATAAATTAACTACCTGAGGATGCATGATCTGTTAAAAATCTTTACAGTAAGTCATATTGCATGTCAACGCTCTATGGGTGTGATTGAAGACAGTGACACATTATAAACAGGCGGGTCATTCAGTTAATTGACTGTTGGGTCATCAGTGATATAATTAGTAGAATATCCAATTAATTTCAATATTACTTTTATAATCCCCAAGGTAAATTAAAATGGAAGGATTGAATTGAATAGAATTGTAAAAAAGGCTGTCCTGCTCCTCTCCTCTCTACCTAACTTCCCCTCACAGTCCCCTCAGTTTTCCTTAAGTCCCATTAGTTTGGCTGCTCAGCCTACCTTAGTTATCCCTCACCCATCATAGCCCTGCCATTCCCAACCAATTAGAGCGCTTGGAAATGCGCATCTGGACATTGCACCCACCCACTCAGGTCAGTGTGTTATCGCCGTCCAAAGGGAGAAGACGCATGTTTCTGAGGACTCTTTATTGTTGACAGTAACACGAATGACTGAATGTTGTGCGTGCATCGAAATAACCACAACAATAAGATTCCAAGTCATTCGGATTACCAAAATCATATAAACATCTTCAAAGGAAACAGCTGTGTGTGTGTGGTGGTGACTATCAAGAGGACAGTGATGGGCCTCAACATCATGTTCTAACCGGACAGCACTATAGAAGACAGAACCAAACCAATCAGTTATTCGTATATAGTGGGTGAGGGCATTCACAGCCAACTACTCAGACGGGTGAGGGCATACCAGCCAAACTTTTTTTACGTGGTCCTTCTAGCCGGATTTAGTGACCAACAGTTTTTAACATGGTCCGTCATTTCTCCGGATTTATCGAACAATAGTTTTTACAAGAATAGATTTTGTTGTCCACCCTGAGATCAAATCCAATTGTATTTGTCACATGCTTTGTAAACAACAGGTGTAGACTAACAGTGACATGCCTACTTATGGGCCCTTCCCAACAATGCTGAGAGAAAAAAAGAGAAATTATAGAAAAATAGCAAAATTATAACACAAGGAATAAATACACAATGAGTAATGATAACTTGGCTATATACACAGGGTACCAGTAACTTGGCTATATACACTGGGTACCAGAGATATAACTTTAGTTACAATAGAATATTACTTAATTGTCCACCATATGATGGAACTGTAGTTACAATAAAATATAACTTTATTGTCCTCCATGAGATGGACATTTAGTTATAATATAATTATTTCATTGCACAGTTGCATTTGGGAATACTCATCACTCCTTCCCATGTCTCCCTCCGTCTTTCCCCATCTCCCGCAGGGAGACGCTACCATCAAGAAGATGCTGAGTTTCTGGTGGCCCCTGGCCCTGATCCTGGCCATGCAGAGAATCAGCAGGCCTATCGTCAACCTCTTTGTCTCCCGGGACCTCAAGGGAAGCTCGGCTGCCACCGAGGCAAGTATCCTACCGACCTCATATGAGGATTTGAAGCACACAACACATAAAAGCCGAGTCCCAATTCTCCAACCTTTCCAGAAGTGTTCTCTTGCAACGGACAGCCGAGGTAATCAGGAAAGTGATATAGTCCAGGTGAATCTCATAATACCACACAGGTGCGTGTAATGATGGTGGCAACTGTGCGTAATGAACAGTCAACTGGCGACCTTGAGCGCCGAAGAGGGGGAGCGGGAGTAGACGTGACAGGGGGGTGTCAATGTAAATAGTCCGGGTGGCTATTGGATTAATTGTTTAGCAGTTGTATGGCTTGGAGATAGAAACTGTTAAGGAGCCTTTTGGACCTAGACTTGGCGCTCTGGTACCACTTGCCATGCGGTAGCAGAGAGAACAGTCTATGACTTGGGTGACTGGAGTGTTTGACAATTTTTTGGGCCTTCCTCTGACACCGCCTAATATATAGGTCCTGGATGGCAGGAAGCTTGGCCCCAGTGATGTACCAGATTACCAGATCTCACAGTGCCTGGAGAGTGTGTTTAACATCCCAGAAACCACATTAGTATGATATAGCAATCTTATAAGATGCACTTCAACTGGACTTCAAGAAAGACAAACAGGAACTCTTACTTCTGACGTGGTGGAGTGGTCTATTGCTCTAAGTGTTTGGTTTCTGTGCTTTGGCCAGGCGGTGGCAGTACTGACCGCAACCTATCCTGTGGGTCACATGCCGTACGGCTGGCTGACAGAACTACGTGCAGTCTACCCCGCCTTCGACAAGGTAAGACGTGGTTGTTTACAGTACCTAGTAAGTAAGGCCGCTGAGAGTGGCCAGGTACCTCAACTTGGCTGTTGATTTAACTGTTAAATCAGTAATGACTGTTCAAGATTATATTAACAATGTGGGTAGCACAGAAATGCCTTGGGATTTACTTGCATTGTAAAATTGTAAAACTACAAGGCCAGCTTTGTTGAATTCTTTCAATAAAGTAAAAGTGCATTGATACCACATATTTTCAAGTAAATACCAGGTAAATAGCAGTGGAAACAATATCGTAAAATAAAGTGCTGCCTTAATGTTTTTATGTAGCAGATCCTCCTCTAGGATGCAGTTTACAATGATTTGGGCACAGTATGGGCTTATTGCAGTGGTGCAGATACTTAGACCAGAATTCAATCAAAGGTGCGTTGTCAACAAGCACATTGCATTTTACTTTTAAAGGTAATTTACGCTTCAGCCGACATCCGCAGTGTTTACCATGAATGTGATCTCCGCAAACATTGGGAAAATTGGCTTTAAAAGCCGCATTGTTGGTAGTGCACTGAATAGCTTTGCAACGCACTTTTGAATGAATCCCTGCTTCAGTTCAGTGAATTTATTGTTAGTTTGTGCAAAGTTCAGCAGACTTCGATGCCTAGCTGTCCCCTTAACTCAACTGTCACTGTTCTTCATTGCTCTGTTTATACCAATATGACATTACTGAACCTGCAGAAAAGTACACACAGAAATATGATACACATAATTCCACTGCACCATGTATTTTGGGGGAGTCTGAATTCTTAGCGGACAACTAGAATTACTGCGGCTCTCACTGACATTTCATAATATTTATAGGTAAACAAAGGCGTGCTGAGGAAAGACAAACCTGCTCCAGGATGTTTGAGGGCTGCGGTTAGGAAAGTCACTGTGTGGTTTACTTGTGCTGAGTCCTACAATGTCACAGTGATGAAAGATTAACTGTGCCAAGGTGGTTTCAAATAGTAAGGTAGTTGCCTCTCCAGCCATGATTGAGCACAATATCAGTCCATGTTTTAACAATACATTTTTAGGGGAGAGTACATTTTGTTGAGACATTGTTCTCATAACAATGTCATAGTTGGTTTTGATATGGTATTACCTGTGTTAACTGTAGTTGTAAAGCCTGTTGTTTACTGAACTAAACCAAAATCACACAATGATTCTAGATGTCATTTGTAAAGCAATTATATGGTTTATGTGAAGATTTAAGTTGGGATTCAATCAAACGCTCATTGTCGACAAGCGCATTCGACTTGACTTGTAAAGGTAATTTAAACATGAGCCGATATCCACAACGTACCATGACTCCGATCTTCGTGAATGTTGAGAAATTGTCAACAATGCACCTTTGATTGAATCCCAGCCTTAGCCAACAGAGCGCACTCACACCTGTCCTTTTTGTTTGTTCTTCTTTGCCCCCAGAACAACCCCAGTAACAAACTAACCAACATCAATACCACAATCTCCAAATCCCACATCAAGAAGTTCACATTTGTCTGCTTTGCACTTTCTATTACGGTACGTTCAACCTCGCAATCATCTTTTGTGGATTGGAGAGAATTTGTCTGTGTTTGTATTGCTTTTAGGTCTTTAAAAAGCTTAATAACATTGTTATAACATGAGTGTCCTGATGCGGGCCAGAATTCAATGATTGAAGATAGTAGGTTTCTTGCATTGTGCTTTCAGCTTTCAGAAATGTGTTTGATGGAGTAGGGTTCTTGCATTGTGCTTTCAACTTTCAGAAATGTGTTTGATGGAGTAGGGTTCTTGCATTGTGCTTTCAGCTTTCAGAAATGTATTTGATGGAGTTGCCCTTAGACACTGATCTTGGGTCAGTTTTGCATTTCCCCAACTACAACAGATCCTAGATCTGTACTAAGGGGAAACTTCACCCCAGAGTGAGTTTGATTGCATAGCAGCATATCCTGGATGGAGGAGTTGTCGTTGTTGTAAGATAGAAATTAGCAGTGTCTTTTTCAGATGATTTCTGTATTAAACAATAATACGCATCAAAATATAATATAGACATCAAACTACACATCCATATACACATGAATATACACGTTAATATACACAACCACACACAAAAAGCAAAACACAATCTTTCATGAGGTTATAAGCAAGATGAGTTGAAATGTAAAATGAGTTCACAGCCAGATATGCTGTCAGTACTGAACGGGTCATACCATGAGATTGACGCCTTCATGAAGCCTTTCTAAGTCAGGAATACTGTAGATGCCTCACAATCCTTTATAAAGGCTACATAAAGCCTCAATAAAACATACTTAGTTTTCCGAACGAAAGCTCATTGTGTGACCAAAACCTTGTTTAGCCACCAAACATCAGCAGTCAAATCTGCATCGTTCACTCAACCATCAGGGGCTGGAGAAATGTGCTGGCATTTTGCCTCTTCAAATCAATTTTTCCATCACCAAAAACAGTGTTTTCCATCAGCAAGGTTAACCACTGAGTTAGCCACTTTTTTTCTTATTTATGTCGACAGTTTTCTGTGAAGCTGAGTTGGTAATACAGTTTTATCAACTGTTTACAAGGTGACACAACAGACCTTAGGAGATACTTTTTTTCTTGGTTATTATTCAATGTACCTTCATGCGGTCCTGAATTCAGGGAAGCGTTTATGAGCAGAATATATTCAAACATGCCTTTTTACTTGAAATAGTATCCTAAATAGTAATAGTATCTTCGCTGTCCTACTATGATTGTTTATCAAAAGTGCTTGAGCAATGGAAGCAATATAGTTCCCATTCCATCTGCAAGTGATTAGGGTTAGGGTTAGTGTGTGTGGACGTTGATTCTGAGTTGAGATTAATAAGCCCTTTACAAATTAACAATAACAAAAAAATTATTAAAGAGCAGTAGTAAAATAACAGTAGCGAGGCTAAATACAGGGGGTACCGGTACAGAGTCAATGTGCGGGGGCACAGGTTAGTCGAGGTAATTGAGGTAATATGTACATGTAGGTAGAGTTAAAGTGACTATGCATAGATAATAAACAGAGAGGAGTAGCAGCTTAAAAGAGGGGGGGGGGGGGGGGTCTTATGGCTTGGGGGTAGAAGCTGTTAAGAAGCCTTTTGGACCTAGACTTAGCATTCCGGTACCGCTTGCTGTGCGGTAGCAGAGAGAACAGTCTTTGACTAGGGTGGATGAAGTCTTTGACAATTTTTAGGGCCTTGCTCTGACAAAGCCTGGTATAGAGGTCCTGGATGGCAGGAAGCTTGGCCCCAGTCATGTACTGGGCCGTACGCCCTACACTCTGTAGTGCCTTGCGGTCGGAGGCCGAGCAGTTGCCATACCAGGCAGTGATGCAACCAGGCAGGATGCTCTCGATGGTGCAGCTGTAAAACATTTTGAGGATCTGAGGACGCATGCCAAATCTGTTCAGTCTCCTGACGGGAAATAGGCTTTGTCGTGCCCTCTTCACAACCGTCTTGGTGTGTTTGGACCATGATAGTTTGTTGGTGACGTGGACACCAAGGAACTTGAAGCGCTCAACCTGCTCCACTACAGCCCTGTCGATGAGAATGGGGGCGTGCTCAGTCTTCTTTTTCCTGTAGTCCACAATCATCTCCTTTGTCTTGATCACGTTGGGGGAGAGGTTGTTATCCTGGCACCACATGGCCAGGTCTCTGACCTCCTCCCTATAGGCTGTCTCATTGTTGTCGGTGATCAGGCCTACTACTGTTGTGTCGTCTGCAAACTTAATGATGGTGTTGGAGTCGTGCCTGGCAATGCAGTCATGGGTGAACAGGGAGTAGAGGAGGGGACTGAGCACGCACCCCTGAGGAGTCTCCATGTTGAGGATCAGCGTGGCAGATGTGTTGTTACCTACCCTTACCACCTGGGGGCGGCCCGTCAGGAAGTCCAGAATCCAGTTGCAGAGGGAGGTGTTTAGTCCCAGGGTCCTTAGCTTAGTGATGAGCTTTGAGGGCACTATGGTGTTGAACGCTGAGCTGTAGTCAATGAATAGTATTCTCACGTAGGTGTTCCTTTTGTCCAGGTGGGAAAGGGCAGTGTGGAGTGCAATAGAGATTGCATAATCTGTGGATCTGTTGGGGTGGTATGAAAATTGGAGTGGGTCTAGGGTTTCTGGGATAATGTTGTTTATGTGATCAGCCTTTCAAAGCACTTCATGGCTACATACGTGAGTGCTACGGGTCGGTAGTCATTTAGGCAGGTTACCTTAGTGTTCTTGGGCACAGGGACTATGGTGGTCTGCTTGAAACATGTAGGTATTACAGACTCAGTCAGGGACAGGTTGAAAATGTCAGTGAAGACACTTGCCAGTTGGTCAGCGGATGCTCGGAGTACACGTCCTGGTAATCCGTCTGGCCCTGCGGCCTTGTGAATGTAGACCTGTTTAAAGGTCTTACTCACATCGGATACGGAGAGCGTGATCACACAGTCGTCCGGAACAGCCGATGCTCTCATACATGCTTCAGTGTTGCTTGCCTCGAAGCGAGCATAGAAGTAATTTCGCTCGTCTGGTAGGCTCTTGTCACTGGGCAGCATGTGGCTTTGCTTCCCATTGTAGTCTGTAATAGTTTGCAAGCCCTGCCACATCCGACGAGCATTGGACCTGGTGTAGTACAATTAAATCTTAGTCCTGTATTGACGCTTTGCCTGTTTGATGGTTCGTCAGAGGCCATAGTGGGATTTCTTATAAGCGTCCGGGTTAGAGTCCCAATCCTTGAAAGCAGCAGCTCTACCCTTTAGCTCAGTGCGGATGTTTCCTGTAATCCATGGCTTCTGGTTGGGGTATGTACGTACGGTCACTGTGGGGACGACGTCGTCGATGCACTTATTGATGAAGCCAGTGACTGATGTTGTGTAGTCCTCAATGCTATCGGAAGAATCCCGTAACATATTCCAGTCTGTGCTAGCAAAACAGTCCTGTAGCTCAGCATCTGTGTCATCTGACCACTTCCTTATTAACCGAGTCAATGGGGCCTCCTGCTTTAGTTTTTGCTTATAAGCAGCAATCAGGAGGATATAATTATGGTTAGATTTGCCAAATGGAGGGCGAGGGAGAGCTTTGTGCACAGACTAAAGGTGGTCTAGAGTTTTTTTTCCTCTGGTTGCACATTTAACATGCTGGTAGAAATTAGGTAGAACGAATGTAAGTTTCCCTGCATAAAAAAGTCCCTGGCCACTAGGAGCGCTGCCTCTGGATGAGCGTTTTCCTGTTTGCTTATGGCCTTATACAGCTAATTGGATGCAGTCTTATTGCCAGCATTGGTTTGTAGTGGTAAATAGAGAGCTACGAAAAATATAGATGAAAACTCTCTTGGTAAATAGTGTGGGATACAGCTTATCATGAGATACTCTACCTCAGGCGAGCAAATCCTTGAGCTGTTGTTTACAAATATACACAGACCGCCACCCCTTGTCTTACTGGAGGCAGCTGTTCTATCTTGCCGATGCAGGATATCCGTGATCGTAGTTAGTCTATTTTGTTATCCTATGATTGTACGTTGGCTAATAGGACTGATGGTAGAGGCAGATTACCCACTCGCCGTCTGATCCCTACAAGGCACCCCGACATACGTCCCGATATCTCCGTCTCTTTCTCATGCGAATGACGGGGATTTGGGCCTTGTCGGATGTCTGAAGAAAATCCTTTGCGTCCGACTCGTTAAAGAAGAAGTCTTCGTCCAGTACAAGGTCAGTAATCTCTGTCCTGATATCCAGAAGCTCTTTTCGGTCGTAAGAGACGGTGGCAGAAACCTTATGTACAAAAAAGTTACAAATAACACGAAAAAACACACACAATATCTGTCAGGGGTGCTGAAGGTGGGTGTGGTGAATGAATCAAGCGCAGGAGGCAGAGGTACAGTCCAAAAGACTTTAGTGCAATATCCACAAGAGAAAAGCACATAATAGCCCGAAGGCGAAAATCACGGCGCACACAGGCGTCAAATAAACGGCGCACAAACATGTGCAAACAAACCTCTCCAAAACACTGGAGGGAGGAACAAAGCTCCAACACGAAAACAGAATGGGCAATCACACACAAACACAGACACACACAACGAGAACTAAATAGAACACTAACGAGGACTAACTAGACACAGGTGTACAACATCAAGACAAAACCAAACAAACATGAAACATAGATCGGTGGCAGCTAGTACTCCGGGGACGACGACCGCCGAAGCCTGCCCGAACCAGGAGGAGGAGCAGCCTCGGCCGAAACCGTGACAGTACCCCCCCCCCTTGAGCCGTGCGCCGACCCCGGCCTCGAGGACGACCAGGAGGACGCGGAGCAGGGCGCGCGGGATGGTCCCGGTGGAACTCCGACAGGAGAGATGGGTCTAGGATGTCCCTCCGCGGCACCCAGCACCGCTCCTCCGGGCCGTACCCCTCCCACTCCACGAGATACTGGAGACCCCCCATCCGGCGTCTGGAGTCCAAGATGGACCGAACGGTGTACGCCGGAGCCCCCTCGATGTCCAATGGGGGTGGAGGAGTCTCTCCTATCTCATTGTCCTGGAGTGGACCAGCTACCACCGGCCTGAGAAGAGACACATGGAACGAGGGGTTAATATTCTTATATTCAACAGGTAGATGTAACTTATAACACACCTCGTTCAATCTTCTCAGGACATTAAAGGGCCCGACAAACCGCCGACCCAGCTTCCGGCAGGGCAGGCGGAGGGGTAGGTTTCTGGTAGAGAGCCAGACTCGATCTCCGGGTGCGTACACCGGCCCCTCACTGCGGTGGAGATCGGCGCTCGCCTTGTGACGAAGGACGGCCCGCTGCAGGTGGACGTGGGCAGCGTTCCACGTCTCTTCCGAGCGCCTCATCCAATCATCCACCGCAGGGGCCTCGATCTGGCTCTGCTGCCACGGTGCCAGAACCGGCTGGTAACCTAATACACATTGGAAAGGGGTTAGGTTGGTAGAGGAGTGGCGGAGAGAGTTCTGGGCCATCTCGGCCCAGGGAATGTAACGCGCCCACTCCTCAGGCCGGTCCTGGCAATACAACCTCAGAAACCTACCCACATCCTGGTTGACACGTTCTACCTGCCCGTTACTCTCCGGGTGGTACCCCGAGGTAAGGCTAACCGAGACCCCCAAACGCTCCATAAACTCTCTCCACACCCGGGAGGTAAACTGGGGGCCTCGATCAGACACTATATCCTCGGGGACCCCGTAATGCCGGAAGACGTGGGTAAATAGGGCCTCAGCGGTCTGTAGGGCAGTAGGAAGACCCGACATAGGGAGAAGACGACAGGCCTTAGAGAACCGGTCCACAACGACCAGGATGGTGGTATTCCCCTGAGAGAGGGGAAGGTCTGTCACAAAATCCACCGAGAGGTGGGACCATGGTCGTTGTGGAACGGGCAGGGGTTGTAACTTACCCCTGGGCAGGTGTCTGGGCGCCTTACATTGGGCGCACACCGAGCAGAAGGAGACATAAACCCTCACATCCCTGGCTAACGTGGGCCACCAGTATTTAGTGCTACGACAATGCACTGTCCGGCCAATACCCGGATGTCCAGAGGAGGGTGACGTGTGAGCCCAGTAAATGAGTCGATCCCGAATCTCGAGCGGAACGTACTTCCGACCCTCAGGACACTGTGGAGGGCTGGGGTCGGTACGCAACGCTCGCTCGATTTCGGCATCGACCTCCCACACCACCGGTGCCACAAGACAAGACTCCGGTAGTATGGGAGTAGGCTCAACGGACCTCTCCTCCGTGTCATACCGCCGGGACAGCGCATCTGCCTTACCATTCTGGGACCCAGGGATGTACGTGATTTTAAATACGAACCTGGCGAGAAACATACTCCATCGAGCCTGGCGAGGGTTCAGTCTCCTCGCTGCCCGGATGTACTCCAGGTTCCGATGGTCAGTCAAAATGAGGAAAGGGTGTTGAGCCCCCTCAAGCCAATGCCTCCACACCTTAAGGGCCTGAACTACAGCTAACAGCTCCCTGTCCCCGACGTCATAATTTCGCTCCGCCAGGCTGAGCTTTTTTGAGTAAAAAGCACAGGGGCGGAGTTTAGGTGGCGAGCCGGACCGTTGAGAGAGAACGACCCCTATACCAGCCTCAGACGCGTCCACCTCAACCTGAAAGGGAATTGTGGGATCCGGATGCGCCAGCACCGGAGCCGACGTAAACAGGTCCTTCAGTCTCCCAAAGGCCCTGTCCGCATCAGCTGACCACTGCAGGCGCACCGGACCCCCCTTCAGAAGTGACGTGATGGGAGCTGCCACCTGTCCAAAACCCCGGATAAACCTCCGGTAGTAATTCGCAAAGCCCAAGAACTGCTGCACCTCTTTTACAGTGGTTGGAGTTTGCCAATTACGCACAGCGGACACACAATCCACCTCCATTCTCACCCCTGACGCGGACAACCGATACCCCAAAAAGGAGACCGACTCCTGGAAAAACAGACATTTCTCTGCCTTGACATATAGGTCATGCTCCAACAGCCTCCTCAATACACGTCACACCAGGGTTACATGCTCGGCTCGGGTAGACGAGTACACCAGAATATCATCAATGTACACGACCACCCCTTGTCCCTGCATATCCCGGAAAATGTCGTCTACGAAGGATTGGAAGACTGATGGAGCATTCATCAACCCATATGGCATGACAAGATACTCGAAATGACCCGACGTGGTACTAAACGCTGTTTTCCATTCATCGCCCTCCCTAATGCGCACCAAGTTAACGCGCTCCTGAGATCCAATTTTGTGAAAAACCGCGCTCCATGCAATGACTCCGTCATGGTCGCAATCAGAGGGAGTGGATAACTGTATTTCACAGTAATCTGATTGAGACCACGGTAATCAATGCACGGGCGCAACCCTCCATCTTTCTTTTTCACAAAAAAGAAACTTGAAGAGGCGGGGGAAGTGGAAGGCCGAATGTATCCCTGTCTCAAAGATTTGGTTATGTACGTCTCCATAGCTTTTCTCTCCTCTTGAGACAAAGGATACACATGGCTCCGTGGGAGCGCTGCTCCTGCCTGGAGATCAATCGCACAATCCCCCTGTCTATGGGGAGGCAACTGCGTCGCCCTAGTCTTGCTAAACACGAGAGCTAAATCCCCATATTCAGGCGGAATGTGCAGTGCGGGCACTTGGTTTGGACTTTCCACCGAAGTCGCCCCCACGGAAACACCCAGACATCGCCCCTCACACTGAGCAGACCACCCATCGAGAGCCCTCTGTTGCCACGAAATAGCAGGGTTATGGGTGCTTAACCAGGGAATTCCCAGCACTACTGGGTACGCAGGAGAGTCGATCAGATACAGCTGTATAGTCTCTTCATGACCCCCCTGCGCACACATCCTAAGTGGCGCTGTGACTTCCCTGATCAACCCCGACCCCAACGGGCGGCTATCTAAGGCATGAACGGGAAAAGGTTTGTCAACAGGTAGGAGAGGGATCCCTAACTCTAAACAAAACTTTCGATCAACAAAATTCCCAGCTGCGCCTGAATCTACTAGCGCCTTATGCTGGGAATGAGGTGCGACCTGTGGAAAACCAACAGGTATACAAAAGTGCGCAACAGAAAGCTCTGGGTAAGTGGGGCGTCTACTCACCTGGGAGGCCCCCCCAGTGTGTGGCCTGTTGTCTTCTCCCCCGGAGAACCCTCCCCAGCACCTGGCCGCAGTGTGCCCTCCACGACCGCACTTGGTGCAGGAGACAGGCCCCCTCGGGCTCTTCCTCCTCCGTTCTCTAGCGCCGGCACCCCCGAGCTCCATAGGGCTCGGCTCGGAGATGCCGGAGGGCGGAATGGACGGACCCCCCTCGGGACGTCCACGGGTGGCCAGCAGGGTTTCTAAACGGATGGACATATCGACCAACTGGTCGAAAGTCAGATGGGTATCCCTGCAGGCCAACTCCCGTTGAACGTCCTCCCGGAGGCTACACCGAAAATGGTCGATGAGAGCCCGTTCATTCCACCCTGCATCCGCCGCTAGAGTCCGGTACTCCAAAGCAAACGCCTGTGCGCTCCTCCTCCCCTGTCTTAAGTGGACTAGCCGCTCCCCCGCCGCTTTGCCCTCAGGTGGATGGTCAAACACGGCCTTGAAGCGGCGGGAGAACTCGGCGTAGGAGATGGTGTTGGCGTCCATCTTCCTCCACTCAGCGTTAGCCCACTCCAACGCCTTAACGGTGAGACAGGAGATGAGGGCGGAAATGCTCTCGTGTCCCGAGGGCGCCGGGTGTACGGTGGCAAGGTAGAGTTCCACTTGTAACAGGAACCCCTGACACCCGGCAGCGGTGCCGTCGTATGCCCTCGGGAGCGAGAGCCAAATCCCACTGGGTTCCGGTAGTTGGACGTGCGGGCTGACCGATGGTGATGGTGCGGTAGGTGGGGGTGTGGGTACCCCGCTGGTCTCCCATCTATGGAGGGTGTTCATCACTCGGTCCAGGTTTGGTTGATACGATCCTCCTGACCACGAAGGCGCTCCTCCATGATCTGAGTGGGTACGGGTGCTCCTGCTGATTCCATAAGGTGGTGTGTGATTCTGTCACGGGTGCTGAAGGTGGGTGTGGTGAATGAATCAAGCGCAGGAGGCAGAGGTACAGTCCAAAATACTTTAGTGCAAACAAGAGAAAAGCACATAATAGCCCGAAGGCGAAAATCACGGCGCACACAGGCGTCAAATAAACGGCGCACAAACATGTGCAAACAAACCTCTCCAAAACACTAGAGGGAGGAACAAAGCTCCAACACGAAAACAGAATGGGCAATCACACACAAACACAGACACACACAACGAGAACTAAATAGAACACTAACGAGGACTAACTAGACACAGGTGTACAACATCAAGACAAAACCAAACGAACATGAAACATAGATCGGTGGCAGCTAGTACTCCGGGGACGACGACTGCCGAAGCCTGCCCGAACCAGGAGGAGGAGCAGCCTCGGCCGAAACCGTGACAATAGCACAATTGGTTAGGTGTCCGTAAAACGGCAGCCATCTCCTCCGGCGGCATTCTTTACACTCAACACATTTGGCACAAAGGTTGTGATACAATGGAGAGGCACTAGCATTTTGGAGGCGCCACAAACTTTTTGTGTACATTTGTTTATGCAGATAAACTCTCACTAAAAATATCTGTTAATGGGGATCCATAATAAATACAAATACAAATGTGTGTCTAACTACCTCCGGAGTTGGGCAGGATGATCTAATCACAATGTGTATTTTGATTGTCTACACCTTTCAAAAAATGTGGCCACAATCAGAATGTGGACAAGATCAGGACAAAGGACGCAAGTTAGAACCAAGTATAAAGAGGACTTTTGGAAACAAAGTGTGGTCAGTGATGAACTGCTGGCTCCGTATTAGACTTTGCCCCATTTAGGTGTTGTGGTCTAAGTAATGGAGGGCTGTCTTTCCAGATCAGTTTTTACCACACTCATTCACTGTGGTCAAGGTAATGACATGGTGCCTCGACAAACCTTTGCCCTAGATAAGGTATGTGCACGATGCTAGGATTCTAAGGTGCTAGGATTCTAGCCCTACCTAAGGTTGGGCTCCTGAATTAGTTTGTTTGAATCTACAATCTACAAGAAAAACTGACAGAAGTGCACATTTTAATTGGAAAATACAGGAAGAGAGAATGTTTTAGACAAATGTAAATCCTTTTCAATTGAATGGTTTGGGGTTAGTTTTGATATTTTCACCTATTGCTTCCTGATTGGGTCTCATGTGGACATACACTGCATTCGGAAAGTATTCAGACCCCTTCCCTTTTTCCACATTTTGTTACATTAAAGCCTTATCCTAAAATGGATAAAATTACTTTTTCATTTGCAAAAATTTATAAAAACCTGTTTTTACTTTGTCATTATGGGGCATTGTGTGTAGATTGATGAGGGGGGGAAACAATTTAATCCATTTTAAAATAAGGCTGTAACGTAACAAAATGTGGAAAAAGTTAAGGGGTCTGAATACTTTCCGAATGCACTGTACAAATGTAACAGAGGTCCATTCATGTGTCGCTAGCGCTCACTCTCTGGCGCGCTATTTAATCTGGGGAGCACGTTGCCCTCCCCAAATCCTAACCTTACCTTCACAATGAAACCATGGAACTGACCATTGATCTGCGTTTAGGCCAGGGTAATTTAACCCTAATCCTAACTCCCTGGGGCTTCAGACAGTGTTAACCCTGTGTTTGGTTTTGGTTGTCCAGCTATGCTTTTTGGTGTTCTGGACGCCTCACATCTCGGAGAGGATCCTAGTAGACATCATTGGTGTGGACAACGCCTTCGCAGAGCTCTGTGTCCCTCCACTGCTAATCTTCTCCTTCTTCCCTGTTCCAGGTAAGATCCAAGTAGGGAATCAGTGGAAATGGAATGTTTGAATTTAGCACAGCAGGGAAACGTCCTGCTTACAGATGTAAAAAAAAAAAAAAAAAACTCATTTATAAGTGACAATTTATTTTACTATGACAGTGACCATCCGGGCTCACCTGACGGGCTGGCTCATGACTTTGAAGAAGACCTTCGTCCTTGCTCCCAGCTCTGTCCTGCGCATCATCGTACTGATCACCAGTCTCATTGTACTCCCTTACATGGGGTAAGTCAAGTGCACACTTCTGCTTTCACGGGTCTCACAAGTATTCACTTCACTTCTCGCCAATCTCTTGAGCATGGAGCTAGTGTCATTAGAATGACTGTGCACATAGCACTGAGATGTGAAAACCTCAACGCTGTGAGTGTGCACTCAAAAGCTCCGAACAAGTGTTCAATTTATCATTCACTAGGCTCAAAATTGCCCACTTCACCTCTTATCACTTTTATCTTACTCCCACGCATGGGCTAAGTGTTCACTCCGTTACTCACTAGTTTCAAATCTGTCAATTTTACCACCACTCATGGATTTAGTGTGCAATGTACCCCTCAGTCCTATTGTTTTCTTTTAGTGGGAGAAGTGTTCACTACTCACTAATCTAAAAAATGTAAACTTTTTGGGCCAGTTTATCGGACACAGATTAAGCCTAGTCCAGGAGTGAAACATTTTTCGATGGAGATTCTGCCATTGAGCTTGGTTTTTATGGTCCTTTTTTGTGGTTATTTGTGACTCAGTTGGTAGAGCATGGCGCTTGCAACGCCACGATCGTGGATTTGCTTCCCACTGGGGTCACCCATATAAAATGTGTACGCACGCATGACTGTAAATCGCTTTGGTTAAAGTGTCTGCTGAATGACATACATTTGTGGCCTAATATATTGCCACCCTTGCACTTTTCTTAAAAAATCACAATTTATTCTAAGTTAAGTTGAAATCGAAAATAACTTTTAGTCTCCACACCTTGTTATTGGATTTTCAACATTGCAGAACCAATTTTATTTTCCAGCTTCCCCGCCTTCAATCCTCACCTTAATAACAATTAGGGAAAATGCTAAACCGACCCAAGATCAGTGTTTAGGGGCGACTTCACCCTACACCAGGGCTCTCCAACCCCGTTCCTGGAGAGCTATTGTCCTGTAGGTTTTCGTTCCAACCCTAATCTAGCTCACCTGATTCTAATAATTAGCTGTTGATAAGCTGAACCAGGTTAGTTACAACTGGGGTTGAAGCGAAAACCTACAGGAGGGTAGATCTCCAGGTACATGGTTGGAGAGCCCTGACCTACACCAATCGGAGGCACCATTGCAATCATTGGCGCCACCTCCTGGATGTGAAGTGTTTTTGTGCAGACACGTGGAAAGGTTGTGGGAAAATGCATTGTACATCTGTGTGTGAACTGAGCACTAGTTTGAAAAGTCACAAATCTACTTTTGGTCACGCTTCAGTTGCTCTTCAGTGGACCTTGGACATTCCTCTCATAACTTTGTGAAACAGTGGGACTACGTCCCAAATGGCACAGTAATCCTTACATAGAGCACTAGTTTTGACCAGGGCCCATAGAGCTCTGGTCAAAACTAGGTCACTATATAGGAAATATGGTGCAATTTGGGACACAGTGTGGGTCAGTATGAAATAATTCCTGCATTGAAAGTGACCATGAGTTAAATATACTGTATTTCTTCCACAAAATAGTTAACTTTGCTTACATGAGGTTATCTGACGGTCTTTACCGGGATGCATCATTCAAGCATTTGGTTTATTTTCAGTAAAACATATAGTAATAATATAGTAATACATAAGAAGTGCGAAATAGCCTCATGCTGGCTAATTGAAGGTGTATGAAAAGAGTGAGTGTGGCGGCAGGTAGCTTAGTGGTTAAGAGCGTTGTGCCAGTAACCGAAAGGTCGCTGGTTCTAATCCCCAAGCCGACTAGGTGAAAAATCTGCCGATGTGCCCTTGAGCAAGGCACTTAACCCTAATTGCTCCTGTAAGTCGCTCTGGATAAGAGCGTCTGCTAAATGACTAAAATGTAAATGTAAATGAAATGACGTAGATGCACCAAGTTAACAGTAGTAGTGGGTCAATTTTCACAATAACCAGGAGTGTTGAAGCGCGAGGCTAAACCTGTCCTCTGTTTTGGTTCTGTAGCTACCACGTTGTAGCAGCATGAAGAGTACACGTGCACATGCGCAGATACTCTGTGTGACTGTGAGTCTTGCATCACGCTCATCTCAATATCTGTGGTGCTGCTCATGGCAACGTCATCTCGCTGAGTCTACCATTTAAATGATAGAGTCAATCTCATTGTGACTCGCCAGATTCAGAAGCTTGAAAACCCCATGGAAAAAGCTTGAAAATCCCATTGAAAACCCCATTCATTTTTATTTATCTTTTACTGAAACTGAACATAATTCATGATCGTTTTTATTTTAGTTAGTTTTGGAATCAAAGATAATCGTTTCAGTATAGTTTTAGTTTTTCAAACAGGTTTGTTAATTATTTTATTTCTGTTTACTAAATAGTTTTTTCACGATTAGTTTTAGTTTCAGTTTTAGTATACTATATTAACCTTGGTGTGGGCACGTGCCTGCGTGCGCACATGTCCTTGGTTTACATTGTAAGTTGTGTATTTCAGGGTGCATGGAGCCAGTCTGGGAGTTGGGTCTCTCCTTGCCGGATTCCTTGGAGAGTCGACAATGGTGGCAATAGCTGCCTGCTATGTCTATCGAAAACAGGTAAGGTAAACAGCATAAACCGCATGGCAATCTGGGGCCTAATTTCTAACACATTCGTAAGCACATATTTGATAGTAAATTGTGTGTACAACGATATCCACAGCAACAATCTGATTGATAAAAATATGCCATTTATATAGATTGTGCATGAAAATGTGGGATTTATAAATGAAACATGCTTATTTGTGACTAACACTTTATGGGTGTAGATGATACTTAAACCACATTTTCACATATTTTAAGAAATTATTGTATGCAGAAATCTACTATATAAACGTAAGAACATTTTAGAAATGAGCCCCTGATCTGCTAATGTTGCACCATGAAGGAATATAGGTATGCCATAAACTTACCAGCAAATGCCTACTTTTGTGATTCAGTTGCAGTAAACCGTAGGAACCCAACCTGATTCAGGACTCCACATAGACACTAAATGAAGATGTTTCATAACAATAATAAAGATATTTGTGTATTAGTCCTCAAACTTGGAAAAGGCAATAGCATGGGAAATATCTGTTATACTATATGTGGCTTGACTGCAATAAGTCAAGTTATTGTTACAATTATCCAGTTGCAAACCCTCCTAAGAGAACCAAGTAAGAAAGAAAGTCATCATTATCAGCTATCACATAAAAGAAAGGTTAAATAAAAAATCTAAAATATATTTCTGGCACTCATAGGTGATAAAACACATTTTTCCTCCATGTAGAAAAAAAAGGAAGACACGGAAGTTGAAGAGGCTGGGGAAAGGGAAGAAGACTCTGCCCCAATGAATGATGTGCAGCCCCGGAGACAAATGGACGATATCGTGGAGGAAGATGAGTGAGCCAAGGACGCTGAAGGAACGTTGAAGGACATGCTGGGGGATAGCACAAGGGAGTTCCCTTCTTTTACTGGGACAGTTTTTCAATCGCTTTTGGCAGCCTGTTGATGCCCCCCTTTTAACCGTACACGGTTTATGAGGATTGGAGAGTACCCAAACAACAATCTGATTGCTACCAAGCCAGTGAAGCATGGTAAAGATGCTAACTTGTACCAAAGCAAATGTTGCGCATTTAACTCCATATCTTCGCCAAACTTTTCTGTGCTGCCGTCCTCTACTTTTATGAGCTATTATGAGGAAACTTTTTACTGTACTGTATAACTTCAACCGCTTGGAAAACATATATTTTGTTTTACTTTGAATGTACAAGATAAAAAATGTATAAGAATTAATGATGCTGAGGTAGGTCCTTGTGTTGTGACCTTTTAACTTGATTTAAATTGGCTGTACACCAGTTGGGGAATAGTTTATGGTTCCCAATAATAAACAATAAAATGAGAATTATGATATATTAACCACAGATTTCTATCAAAGTTGAGAATGAAAAAGGGAGATTTAAGTGGTTTCCTGGTGTGCGTGCGAGTGATGGTTTGGTGCCGTTATAAAACATTTATATTATAATGTTGTCGATGTAAGAAAACATGGTCAATTTCTGTATAAGTGATGTTAACTGAAATGGCAGGTTGGGGGGGGGGGGGGGTTGACTGGCCAACACTTATTTCTTGTTTTTCTATCAACTCTGTTGTAGTATTCTTATTTAATTTCTATCTCAGGATGTAACTCCATGACACATACCGTATGGTGGTGTCCAGTTGTTGATTCCTCCCCCCCACACCCATTCTGCATTATGAACTCTCTCCATTGCCGATTATGCACAAGTATTTAAAGGTGTCTGAAGCTTCTGTAAGTTTTCTATATAATGTAGTGGAAAGTCTTGCCAGGCTCATTGGGCCTTTTGTATTTCAAATATGACTGCTAAAGCCCTGTCCAGTATAAAAAGAGCAAATATATGACCTCTCTTGTTATTGTCTATCAACACAAAGGGACAGCTCTATTCTACAATGATTAAAGGGTGATTCAGTCGTTTAATGTCCCTCTGAGAGTGTTTTTTACTGTAGGCTAGATTTTGTCCCCCTACATTCAGCGGCTGCTAAACGTTTTTAGCAAGACATTCAAAAGTTCCTTTCTAACCAAGGGCATCCACACTTTTGGGACTGAATTGCCGTAGCATGGGTAAGAATGGTCAGGGAACTCACCATAGTTGGTTTTAGATCTGTACCTCATTTACATTTTTACATTTTACACCAGAATTTAGATAGGAAGCTATTGCAAACAAGGCTTATAAGTAATCTATATTATAATACCGTAAAACACAAACTCGCGGTTTTGCGTCCTATACATTTTGAACAGATTTTCTTCATTTTGGCCTCAAAAGGGCACATAAACCAGAACCATGGGGTAGGCTACTTTAGATTCCACTGTTTGGTATTTTGGTTTATTTTACCTGGTTTTGGTGTGGTCGGTAACTGGAGATAGATTCTCTGAAGTGTCAGGAGACACTTCAGAGTCAGTCTCCAACCAATCTATCCCAGAGTCAGAGTCACTCTCCACCACAGGAGGTTGGTGGCACCTTAATTGGGGAGGACGGGCTCGTAGTAATGGCTGGAACAG